CTGTGATTTAATATTTTGCTTTAATTTCTGTTCTTTGAGGACTGATACTGTAACAAATTTCCAAATTTTCAGATATTCGATTAACGATTTAAGTCTTGCAATTTAAAATTTTGTTTCAACTTCAGTCTTGTAATTTAAAATTTGTTGTAATTTTAGTCCTCGTTGAATGAAATTTCAACAAAATATTACATGACCCAACGGTGAAAAGTTTGAACCTTACGACTAAAATTGTTATGACGTTAAATCAATCGGATTACAAATGCATCTTTGTCTTCTTTTTATTTTGTTGGAGATTAAAATTGTTGAAACTTATTGCAGTATGCATTTTAGGTCTCATTTAGATCATCTGGTGCCAGTGAGCAATTTTTACTATGCATTGTGAAGATGAGTTTAAATATGGAAGTCTTTGTCTTTTTTGAGTTTTGACGCGAAAAATACTTCTTTGGTTTGTGGGGCCGTGCCAGGTTGGACTAGCCAGTCGTATTATGAGGCCACATCACCTCCACGTAGGTTATTCATCCATCTTATTGTTCTCTATTATCTCCACTCACGTTTTCTTTATAAATTTTTTAAATTTAATTCAGATTACTCTAATTAATAATCATTATTTTATCATTTTTCTGTCACAATACAATTAAAATAATATTATTCCCTGCATATATCATATCACTCTAGATAAATTGGGCATTGGTCAGCACTTTTGAGCAGACCCAATTTACATATCTATTTGAGATTACAACATCTGTCTGTCTCATTAACAAAATAAGCTCGAATTCAGTTTGTTTATCGATACTAACGAATCGAACTCGAGCAGAATTCAAAATTTAACGAGTTGAGCTTGTACAAAATTACGTATTAATAACTTATATGTATGAGTCATATCAAACTTAACTCACAAACACCTGTTTCGTTTAACAGCTCTACTGCAAACTCATTAATCATTGAAACAAATTTACCGATGTTGCGTGCCGAATCCTAATAAATTACCCCACATTTTGTATTTATGGTTAATTTCTAATGTAATACCGAATCCTAATAAAATTACCCCATTTTTTGTATTTATGGTTAATTTCTAATGTATTTTATGTAATAGCTAAAAGAATAAAAAAAAAAAATCCTATTAAGAATATCTAATATAAAATTTCAAAAGTTAATCCACTCTCCCATTTTGTCCTACTTTTCTTTCTAGAAATTCCTCCCTATATATTAATTAAAAACGTATTGAGCCTAAGTGACAGATTCTCATGCTTCGGATGCTGAAATGGCGAAAATCTATGCTTCTTGATATTATTTTTATATCATTTTTGCTTTAGAGTTGAGTTTGGTATTAGACATAAATAACTTCTATTATATATTTCTTAACTCAACACCTGTGTTGTACACGGGTATTGTACTAGTAATAATTTTGAAACAGAAACACAGCTGTAGTAAAAGAGGCCTAAAATAATTCTTCAAATATTGGTACAAGGAAGATAAACAAGGGAAAAAAGAGAATAAAGAAAACCCATAGTATGATTTTGCACATAATTATGTTTTATAACTTAAGAGACAAAGATATAAGATGACATCAATTTGTAATTAGTGAGTAAAGAATGTTTTGTCTCCTTAGGGCAGGGCCCATTCTGCCATAGCAGTTTTAGGGTCAACAGTACTCTGTCGGCTTATTTAATTATAGTTATTCTAGTGCTATTAAAAAAAATGAGAAAATTATGCAATTTATTTACAAATTTATTCTTTTCTTTAATATTTATAATTTTTTTTAATTACAAGTATACTAAGTTTTAATGTTTATAAATGATTGATTTGTGGTCTAGTTTTGTAATTGGATCCTAAAATTGCATTATTTTTTACTTTATGATTTATTTATAAATAATTTATATATTCTTTTGTTCTTAATGTCATAATTGTATAAAATCAAATTCAAAAATATAGTAAGCATATAAAATTATCTAGAAATTTAACCTTTTTTTTGTTTGAATTATAAATTTAATTCAGCCTATAACTTTCTTCCATTCGCAATTTTTAATGTCACAACATTTGATATATTTGTTCACATTTGATCAGTCAGAAAAGGAATTGATTATTCGAATCGAACTATTCGCCAACACAAACATGTTTTCTTCTTGTGAAAAAACTTAATTAATTCGATTAAAACGGATAGACTTCAAACAACTAATTAAACTCATTTATTAAATCAGGTTCATATACCATTGAAAAAATTGCTTATTGGTCCATAGTTTTTCCATTATTATATTATCGAACCAAAAAAAAAAAAAAGAATCTGAACAAATTAATTTGTCTCCCTCGTCTCATACCATGCGCCCTTGCGCGTGCATCAATTATCATTAGTATTTAGTATACAATATTAGTTACTACTCGTGTTTTATTTATTTATTTTTTAATTTATTTATTTAGTTAGGTAGTTATGCTTTTGACCTAAAAACTAGACAGCCTAGCGTTGACTGCTCTTCTCTCTATCTCTCTCTCCTCTCACATCTCTCTCTCTAGGAACAACGTGAGACCGTCTCTCCAAAGATCAAGGGTCAAACAAAGGTTGACTATTTGTTGTGCAGAAAAATTCCTGCATATTTGCTGAAAGGGTCCTCCAAAACTTCATTATTTATTCTCCGATCCACATACTCGAATTCACAAGGTAAGTATGTATGAAGATTACTTCAAATATTTTTGTTGAGAAATTAAAGAAAGGTCCTTTCTTTTATACTATATAGTAACCTCACAAGCTGCTGAGAAAAAAAAAACAAGGCCAATAAAAGCTCCATATGCATGCTGCATGCAACATTTTTTTTATTTTTTTATTTTTTTTCCGGGTAAGGTAAACGTTCACATATAATTTCGGAACGTTTGAATGTTCGATTAATGTATATACATTGTGTTTTTCCAGCTTATAGCAATTTTGCTCGAAAAATATTCCTATCCGCGTGACACTTAATTAACGTCGGTTTTGAAGGAATAAGAATTATTGGTGTTAGTTTTTTTGAGTATATATGTTTGCCAAGTATGAATATCATTTTTAAGCAATCAAAATCATGTTTTTTTGTTTGAATGTATGGACATTTGTATTTAGGGCTTCTATTCTCATGCAAGAATTAGACTATTGTTTCTATTATAATATTCACTTGTGAGTTGTCCCACATCGTTTATATAAGAAAAATAGGCCGAATTTATAAGTCTAATGAGTTACTCCTCCTTCCACCAATTGATTTTGGGATGGAAACTCATTTGGGCTTCATCTGAGTTTTCCCTACTCTTGTGCATTTTATGTGCGTGGGATCGCACTCGCTGCCCCCGTTTCGTACCATTTCCATTGTTTTTCCTATGTTATGCACATGTTCTTGATCAACATTAATTCACTGAATTAATCCCTTATAAAAATTATAATTGTTTTTCTACTATTTTTTTGTTTTCTATTTTGGTAATCTTCCACATGTAGCTTTGACAAGGTGGTCAACCAGCAGACAGATTGTTTGACTAGTGTGTGTGAGCAGATTCTGTTTTCTTTAAATCACATGTTATATATCTCAAATGTTGTGTTTTTCCTTTGCTCTTAAGAAAAACTCAATTTATAACTTCATTACTAGTGAGAAAATTAATATACAACCTTTTTTTTATTAGTATAACAATTAAGCATACTTGAGCCTTATTACATGCTTATATTGTGATTATTGTGATGGAGTCAACAACTTGGCAAAAA